GATCGACTGGTAAACATACTTGAGACGTACATTTTTTTGGTACACATCCTATGACCGACCAAACCGACTATCGTGTTAGTTCGTAAGACAATTTTACTAGATATTTTTAGAAAGACTCATCATTCTGATTAGAGCATCTGTGCATTCATTTATATATTTTTAGTGGGTTTACATATAGTTACTTGTGGCTTTATTCCTATGCTTCCATTTTTATTATCAAATAGTGAGTGACCTTACATTCTGACGCATAAGTAACGCAGTGGTATTTTATACAATGCTACAATTCTTTTAGATACTACATTGGTATTGATGTGAACTCCAGAGTTAAATGTGCAACCTGTTGCTTTCCGGGCGCCATCAAATAGGGAAAAAAAGAATTCCATGTAGTCCGTTAGTCAGATAATAGAAAAATATTAGATACGTGTTTTTTTTACTTCAATTTAATAAGAAATAGCTTAGATAACAGGCATTAAAGTTGAGGAGTGGGAGCTCGCTACGTCACAGTTTTGTAGAAAATGTGCCAAAGTGTGACGTCTTGTGACATTTTAACTTAATGCATCGCTGTAATTTAATGATTACTAAAAAAATATGTGTTTAATATTTTTCAACAATCTATCTGACAGACAAACAAAGATAGTCGGATTAGCCCGATTAGCCCTATTATAATTATAGACACGTCTCACTATCAAATTATTTAGGTGTTTGGCTAACATGTATGATATTTGACAAAGTGACCCAACAGTTTATTATAAACGAATGAAATATTCGTTCAGAGATCTAAAGATTGTATGATGTTACCTGCACTCTAGCCATTTCTGTGGCGGGATCCGCTACGAGGTTCTCGCCGCTGATTAGCAGTAGTCTAGCGCGCGGGAACCGACGCAGCCATCGTCGTAACGGACGCGCATAAACGCCCAGACGTATAGGGCCCCATGAAGCATCCACCACTGACCAATGTACCCCACCCCAACCTACCGTACTGTTCACCAAAGCTAGATCTTCGAAACGAGGTAGGGAAGGTCTTTTGCTACACAGAAAAAACGGAATCCTTATTAAGCTTTACATATGAATCCTCACAAGCTCCGGGAAAATATTAGTTTGTAAGTGTTGCATACTGCACAGCTCAATGCTTTTAGTTTTAGCATTTAAACTATTAAGGAAAGAAGAAGTTGCATCAATAGATGATATAACATTTGAGTAATCATTAAAATTAAAATATAAGGTCTGCACGAGAGTTTCATGACGTCGAAATTTTTGAAGGATAATAACTTGGTCATTTAGATATGAATTCTAAAAATACTTTATTATCTAAAGGGGCCTATCACCATCCTACTTGGTTTCCTGATCCAATCCCTCTTGCCGTAATACAAGCTTTTGAACGTATGTTGCTGGAAGATCCAAACAAACTTCGGCGAATCTGAGCGGAATTGGGTTGGCTGGAGTAAGACAGCCAACTTTACCACAACGGCTTCGACTGGTATAGGTTTAGGTGGTCATAACGGCCCGATAAGAGTGTCTAAGTGCGGAAAATCGGAGTCCCCTAATCTTACCTAACGTATATATGTTGCTGCTTTCTGCCTGCACATAGCCTTCAGACTTCGCCTACTACATGACTGATATGCAGGGTACTGAGGTCTTTTAAGTTTTATATTCACTCAACATTTTCGAAAAGAGAATGAATACTAATTTTTAATAGTTATTAAATATCTACACACGGCTGCACGTCAGGTTATCACAATATGTCAAATTTCTCCAGTTTATTTTAAACTGTATTTACATATAATTAAGGTTTAAGATCAAGTGGACAAATTAGTATAACTTGCCGTGCTATTGACTGTACCTGGCCGATTGTGTGTAATCACTGATGGCTCTTGTGACTGGATCTCTGACGACTGCTAATAGTTTGACGGATGGATTCATAGCGTATACTCGTTTGGGCGCTGACCTTGTGACCCAATATGAAGGAGTCTTTTCCATGGTTATCTGTCCTTTGACCGTTGGTGGCATTTTATCCCTGAAAATGGTTTTCCGTTTTGAACTTAGTATGTTGTTGAATAGTACTTCTTGGGTGAAAAGTATTCATTTCAAATAGCTGTAGCGCTCGAATGCTACTTGGCTGACTTGATAGCTGTTCCTTCGACTGTGTAAATTAAAATCACGTAAATGTAGCTTCCCGTAGGAGAAATATTTTAAATTGCTCCAGTAGTTTTGGAGCCTATTCAATGCAAACAAACAAACAAATTTTATCTCTTTTTATTATTAGTACAAATAATGTCATAGGTACTTTTTTTTTAAAGAATACTACGAATATGCCATTGCTGTCCTACTAATCCTGTATTTATTTCGAATTACTTCATTTTATATTAATTTAATTCACTATTAAATAATTAGAATAATTAAATATAGTAGGCAAAAAGTCTAGATAAGTCACGGTGTAATCATAAACGAATTTACATCACCCAAAATTGAGGTAGTGAGTCAACTTTTAATGAGATTTGGCCATCTCCAAGTTTCGACAAACGCACAGCAAACACATAAACATGAGATTGATTTTACGTTACTAATAATACCAGTACTAATAATATTTTGACAGAATTTTAAAGTTACAAACCTGTACCAGTCGAAGCCGTTGTGGTAATATTTATCAAAAAAGTGAACTTCAGATCCCGCAGCCCGGACATCTGGATGCAATCTGAAAAAAAATACATGTAAATAACTCAAACTTTATTTAAAACTAGCTGTTTTCCAACGACTTCTCCTGGAAAAATCTAGCCACGTATGCTGTAGATTCCCGTAAGTAAAAGATTTTTTAAAATGGATGAAGCTTTTAGATGTATGAATAAATGGATCACTCGGTTTTCTGTCTGTTAGTGTATCAGCTCTTTTTGTTTTGAAACTATTGGAGCGATTAAGATGAATTTGGTATAAATATGTATGATGGTGACTGAAGGCGACGGCAGTACAATGTAAATATATACATTTTAAACATGAAAGCTTTTCGGTAGTAAATTTGAAAGATCCGTATACTACATTAGGTAAGTGACACACCTATTACATAAATGAAAAGCTTATTGTGAGACTTACAAATACATTTTTTTTTATGATTCCATGATTAATGCCCATTTCTAAAAATATTCAAGAAAAAACGTCCATCATTTCCGATTTACAACTATGAAGCTACTGGACCTTAAATAAAATGCTGGAAAATAGTTATTTACTATTTAGAGATAGAAAGAAAACCTATTAGAAGACTATTGTTTTCATAATTTATGCGGAATCCTTTGTGAGCGAGTCCGAGTCGCATACGGCCGCTTTTGTCATGCCCATGTGTACCTGATTTACGACTCATTATTTTAACATGATAATAATGAAGACGCGATAACGCACTAGAAAACGATACAACATTATCAGACATTCACAAACTCTATCCTTCAAGGTTGGATGGAACATTGGACTCTAAATTAGACTCTTGGACAAACGTGTAGTACTGGAGACTATCAGGACCCTACACGTTTATCCCCTTTCCGAAGGAGCTGTGCTGAATTTTAGTGGCTGATTTTAAATCTCCATACAACCCAAGGTGCACTAAAGACCACTCATCGAATCTCAAACATATAGGATAATAATTAATTATTAATGCACACAAAGGTCTATTAAGGGTTTAATGGCGCATTAAATTCTAATCAATGTCAAATTTGTATCGGTAATGTCGCTTTAAACCAGAGGTCCCCAAACAATTTTTTTCTCATAGAACATTTAAAAAAATGTACTGGTTTCGGTGGACCCCCCTGCTGCTACATTTTACCATATTCCCAAAATTCGTCCAAAATGTGAAGACCCCCGTTGAATCCCTCGTGGACCCATGGGGGTCCACCTGGACCACTTAAATTTTAATGGATGTTTATACAACTGGCAGTATGTGTACCTACCTTAAAAATTCCAAAAGAGCTCTAGTACCACATTTTTTGACACCGATTATTAGAGCATCCGGTAATTTCTTGACCGATGCTCCGCTTAGTTTCTTCGATTGACGAAACTTGTCAAAATTAGACAAATCTAGACCAAGAAACGAAGCGAAACGTATTGTAGCACTTTTATATTTCGATATGTGTCGTTTTATAAGTAAATATTTGTATTTAAACTGAAAAGGAAAGACATAGATTGTAATTTAGAAATCAGATAGACCGATACAACAATTTTGTATACGCTTTTGTCTAACTGACCTGTTTTTCGTCAACTAAACAGGTATTCAGAGCATAAAATAAGTATAATAGACATAATAATATGAAATAAATAAATATAACTCGTTTCGATAGTGCCGGAAACCATTTCATTGCTGTTTCTCGAATTCATTGGATTGGTTTTAAAAAAATCATAGATATGACATATTACACATAGGAAACCCAACGGACGTTTGCAACTTGTAATAACTTAACACTGAAGTAGGTTTTAATAAATAAAGTTATATATAAACATATCGAAACATAACATTGCTGAATGAACATCACACAGCTTTTTCAGACTGAAGTTATTTAGTGATAATATCAGTCCACTGCGCAATCGCGGTCGCAATGCGTGCTGTAAATGAGTTCCTAAACGTAAACAAAATTTCTCAGTCAATATAGAATGTGAAGAAATTAGAAAATCAGTTTTCTTTGTGTCAATACGAAATAGTTTGTATTTTATGATCACAACACGTACTATAAAACCATTTCTACATTAAAATGGTTATAAAAATTTAAAAAAAAGCCGCGTTTTTGTGTTTTGCTTAGCAAGTCCGAAACAATTTTTAATGATATGATGGAAACTAATACTGAACTACACCACAAACCAAATGTTCATCTTTGAGTTTTATTTATTAAAATATGCTGTATGTAGTTTTACAATCAACATAAAAAAAAACCAAAGGATCCGCGGATCCACGTGTGTATCCAAACATACTTTTCTGTGATCCAAACATACTACCAACCTTAAAAAAGAACAAAGAGAACGGCAACCATAGACAAACTTATTTGAATGACAGCCGAGGCGACAGCTAAATAAAGAAATGTGATCGCATTGAACTTTGAAGCTGTGAAATAAATTAAAATGACAGTCCAGCAGGTTAGTTCGAATATTTCTGACGACTCCGATGATATGGTGAGTTTACCACCCGAAGACGAGGTTTACAGACGTAAATATCAATTGTTATTGGAGCGATGTGAAGTGTTACAACAGGATAACGAGAGAATAGTGAATAGGTTTGTGTATTTATATTGAACAACAACAATCGAAAGGTTTTTTATCTCATTTGTGATTCTTCGCTATTACAGAATACATGAAGCGAAGAAAATCACAAAACGTTATCGCAAAGACATAAAATTGTTAGTCGAGAGATTGGATCGACATGGAGATGCATTTCGAACAGCGTCAATGGAAGTGGAAACGAAGCCCGAGATAATTACACGGCCGACTAGTAGACCAGCAACGAAGACTCAACCAATTAGTAAACAAATTGAGAAAGTAACTACTGCTGTAGTAAAAAAACCAGGACCAAAAAGGAAAACTAAGGCTGATAAGGTAAATATAGAGAAAACAAAATACATGTGTAGAATTTTGTAATAATCATATTTTTCTCTTAAATATTCAATATATCACATTTTGCAGCCTGAACGTGACCCCAATGCTCCCAAAAAGCCATGCAATGCATTCTTTCAATTTTGTCAAGAACAGAGACCTCTTGTTGTAGCAGAAAGTAATTCTGAAATGGGTTCTGAACCTACAAAACAAGAGGTTACAAGACAGCTAGCATCAAGATGGAGAGCACTTAGCAATGATGAAAAAAGGGTAAATAATGGTTCCTTTTGATAGTCAGAAGATAATTCTGGATATCGGTTAGGTATGGGACTCTTTCATGAAAAAGTAAAAAGTGCTTGAAGGATTTCAAAAAGGTTGTGGGTTAAAATCCTGTCTCAGGGTGGGTACCAGGGACAAAGTAGATTTTTTAAGCATTTTTCATTAAAAATGAGATCTACAAAAATTTATGATTATTTGTGTAAATACTGTGGATGAAGAAATAGATTTACACAGACTAATGGCTTGAGAAACACTCAAATACACTTGTACAAACTCTTATTACTTGTTATAAGAGTAGATATCCTCAATAGGAGGATACACTATACGGAAAATAGTTTACACAATATCGGCTTAAAGTTTGATACTGATTGCAGATGATCAAGGAGAAAAACAAGATCAATATAATCTACAATTAAACATTTAACTGATAATATAGTATAAAATTTAATATTACTTATTTGTGTTTTTGCAGGTGTATGTAGCAATGTTTGAAAGATCGAAAGAAAAATATGCAGAAGAATTAACAGCTTACAATATCAAGAAAGAACAATGACAAAAACTGACTAGAAATAGCTGTTAAATTTAATGTGATAGTCAGCTTTAAGATTAGTTATTAATACAACATTTCATTCAGTTTATGAATTTCTTAGTATAAAACCAATGCTAATTAAGTATATCTTATGACAAGTAAGTTGGAGATTTTGTGTATTGCGTTTAACAATTTTCACTTAAAGATAAATACTCCTAATATATCATCTTATTATAAAACAAGAACTAAAGTTAGTAGCTACTTGGTTTTAACCATAGGCCATCTACCTAAAGCAAATTAACAATGACGAATAAAAAAAATTTTGAGTGGTTGACTCATATAATGGTTTAAACCTGATTCTAAAATTCATCCTCTTTTTAACATAGAGGTATAATGTTTCCTACTTACACTAGAATTGATTTGCACAAAGAAATAACACTATTTTCTCTTGCAAAGTGATAATTCTAAAATAACTGGCTGAAATTATTTTTCACAAAGTTAAGACTAAAACTCATTATGAGAATTCATTGTATTTATTTAATTATTTTTCTGTATATTATTGTACTAATTTTAATGAGTTAATGTAAATTAATGATGAAACATGTACCTAAACCTGTAATGTTAAAACCCCTTTGACTGAATAATTAGTAAAATGAATAGTGAATGGTAATTCAAACCCCTAGTTACATGACTTCACACGTCATTCATAAATCTCTGATTCTCAAGTCCATGCAATGGCAGGGTAATATACATTCATATTGTGCTAGCTTACAACAATATTTGGATAGTCTCAGGATTATGTGTTTTATCATGCAGTCTTGTAAACTTAATTTTATATGTTTGTAAAGCAATGAAAAGAGATAGGAAACTTTTTAAAACCCTTTATAGCCAACAAATATTTTAAATATAATTAACAAAAATAAAATTAATATGACAGAAAATATTGTTTTGTTTGTGCCTTTTTCAGTATTAAATGTGAATACCCTTTTGTAATGCAATTATCCCTTGAATGAATCCTTAAAAGATCGTATTGTTTTCATTGTTTGTATTGCATCTGTACAATTAGCAAATTTCATTACTGTTGGTTGTGTTACTCTCATAAATGGATTGTACAACTTTTCTTCAGCTATTGTCGAAGGAACCTGGAAAAATAATGACATTTTTGGAAGACAGGCTATTGATTTTCACAGCTAAGTCTTTATTTATATTATTCCAATGAGAGTAATACTTTGGAATCTTAAAAAAATGTCTCTTGAATCAATCACAAGGTTATTATCATTATGTAGATATACCAGTTAAACGCTAAACACAATATATATAATTAAAAAAAAAAGACATTTTTTTATAAAATGTATTATTATTAATGCCTAAATACTCATACATACGGTTGGTAACCCTTCTTGTCGCCTTTCTGTAGACCATTCGATTTTCTTTTTTACCTCCTCATTAGAAGGTTCAACATGTGATGCAAACTTCAAATTTTGCAATGTGTATTCATGGCCACAGAAAACTTTAGTGTGATCGGGCAGTGTCCCCAATACAGTGATCAGTGCCCTATACATTTGATCAGCTGTGCCTTCAAAAAATCTTCCACAGCCTCCCAGGAATAAGGTGTCTCCTTTAAAATAAAAGAAATGGATATTCTAGAAATATACTTGGTGTCTAGATTTAATAATATAAATCAAGTTACCTTTTCTGCATGCTAAAACTGAAGTGTAATTAATCTGTCAGCCTAGCAGATTATTAAAACATCTGAGCAAAAAACTGGATTCTGGCAAAATCCACAAGGACAAGTCCATTAATTAAAAAAGAAGAAGAAAGGTTTGTTCTGACAAATCAATCAGTGCTTGAAATTATACATTAGATGGATAATAAATTTATAAAAGTTAGATTATTAATTTGGCCTTACCTGTAAATACAACAGACTCGTTTCCTTCTTCAGGTGATGTAACAAAATAGCAGATATGTCCAGAGGTATGGCATGGAGTGAACAGACACTGTACGTTTAGATGGCCAATATTGAATCGAGTATTATGCTCTACTTTATTAGTCAAAGCACCGATTCGATCATCTCCACCATAAACTTCTAATCCAGGATGGAGTTTTACTAATTCTTCATTGCCTCCAGCATGATCCCTTAAAATATGACGTATAAAAATGTAGTAAATTTTTGAATTCGTATAAATTAATAAAATAATAATAAATAAATATTTATTGCACAATTAAAAAGAGACAAATACACAAAAATCTTACATAAACAGAGTACTATAGGGGGCCTTATTGCTTGATAGTGATTTCTGCCAGACAACCTTACGTATGTATGGAAATTTATGTAAGTACAATGAAATTATTAGCATAGTGCAAACGAAATACAAAGTAATTATGCAGACAAACAAAACAAAAGGTAGCATATGTTGAAACGACAAAAATAATAGTCATAATAATGATAGTGCAATTTATGAAATGTAAATAAAATAATAGATACATGCTATACATTAAATTAATATGTTTGAATGAACTAAATGGTCTGAGGTTGATTATGGTGTAAAATTCAGTTTTGATGATTTAGGTGGTAATAACTACAGTTAGGAAATTCTGTAAATGAATACCATCAAATATTTTTTTTATTAACAATAGACTGTTAGTAGAAGAGTGCTTGTATAATGTCATTTTTGAAACTTCCCTATCTTGATTATCTCAAATCACTTTAAACTTATTACCAGTGATGATGCGTTGTCAATACCGAGGTAAGTTTTAGGCCTTGTTCTTGAACAGCTTTTAGCACAGTTTTAGGTTCTACTGGATCAACTATGGCCGCTTCTTTAGTAGTTTTATCAACAATCAAGTACATATAATTGTCTTGCAATGCCGGCAATATTTTCACATCCATTTTTTTGTATTGATGATGTTCTATTAAACTGTGTGCCTCCCGCTGATTACGTACCAAAGCTGAAAGAATAAAGTAAACACAGGAGATTATTCAAATACAAGCAGGGGAAATTTATCTTAAGTTTATATACCACAATCCAATAAATAGTTTATTCGCTCTTGATAAACGGAATAAGCAGGTTGAACGACTGATACCTAATATACCTACCTTGGAAATATAACTTCGTAATTTGTTGCGATAGGCCGAATGGCAAAGAGTTTACAAATCTAGCAAGCATTGAATTTAATATGCTAAAAGAAAGGAGGATATTAAAAATAAACAAACTTCCAATCAAACTTCATAAGTTTAGTTATTTTCTTAAGATCTTCACTTCTTTTTAGGGATTCCGATCTCACTCAGTTCTGTTCTATCGAATATCGTTGTTATTGAACTCGATTTTGTAGTTTTTGAATCGATACTTTAACACCCAGTTTGATTTCAAGATCGTCGCAAACCGAGTAGATTTCAAATCGAAGTTTACTAGTGTCTATAATAGTTATCTTTTAATTTCCTCAATAAACTAGATAAATTGTATTTTCATATAAGGGGTGTTCAAGTATTACGTAACGCAAATTGGTGGTGGGATGGGGCTCTTGTAAATTATTTTTATAATCAATATTTAGTTTTATTGAATTTTGCATACAAAAATAGGGAATTAGAATCTTCCAAATTTGCCAAACATTATTACTATGTAGAGTATACGAATAGCATCAACCGAATTACCCCACATCACTATATTGTTACGACTAAGGGTTTCGAATAAAAATTAACGCCAATAATAATTCACAATCCGACTAAGCAGTCGGATTGTCGAATTGAATAATCCAACTTGAAATTGAAATAATCCAACTACAAAAATTACACTTCAAATTCACTATTTCACGTCACTAATAACACTTCACAACACTATAGATCGTTCACCACTCTAGTTAAGTATTCCGGGACAGGTAAACCACCACATATTTATAGGGGCCGATACAACATTTAGAATGTTCTGGGTGTTCCCTGGGGCCTACCGGTGTATTCGAGGCATTTCCAAAAAGTACCTAAACAGCTACCCATCCTTTTCTTTTTTAGTTTCAGACTCCATTTCTTGCCGACCCAATGTATACATATATGACCCAGGTAGTTTCAACAGTTAGCGCAATTCCTCGGCGCACAAGGTCATTTAGTAATGCATAGGCGAACCGCGCCACTGTTAGAGGCTAGATATCAACCACAAAAGAGTTCTATCTGTTTAGCCTCTAACAATCATAGATTTTTATGACAAGATGTCATAAGCTTTTTGTTTTTTCTATGGTATATGTAAAATATTAAGTGTTGTGTTTAAAAGTATCTTTTAAAGTAAATAAATTGTATTAACCCTTAAATTGATAGCGTGCTACACAGAGTACACTGAATTCGTAAAAATCTACAGCTTAATTTATTCGAACTATTTTAAAATTTATTAATTGATTAGCTTCTAAAAACTATAAATTTTGGTAGAAAGTAATTTATACTGTAGCAACATTTACGACCAACTGTCAAAATCAAAATGATTTCGAAGCGGCCGGGTGTGTCTGTGAAGCGGGTAAGTTATTTTTGTATTTTTTTATGTTTTTGTATGGAAACTGTGGTTATTCTGCTTTACATTGCATGGGAATAGTATAAATATATTCTCACTTCAGTTTTAGATGTTTATATTACATACATTTGACCTTATGGGCTTGTGCGCGTGAATGTACTACGTGAATGCCGTTGCCAAATAAGGTGTAAAGAATACTAAATTGACTATGGTAAACACGAAGTACATTGCCAAGTACTAATACAAATGTTTTCCCTTTTTTCATACTGCGTTCCAGCTATTGGGTGTGGTTTTTTTGTTTATATGGCATGCCCTTTTTTTCTTTGCCTGCAGTGCTTGACTTTAACACGATCGCACAAGATTCTGGCTTTGGTTCCTGTGGAAAATACTTGTTCAGAAGATAGTTTCAGTTCCGACGATGAGGCAAACCATATTACACTACCCTCTCTTAAGCGTTATCAACAAATACGTCGAAATATTGATGTAGATGAGATGATGATCCCATACAAGGGCACGAAAGTCGGTAAAAGAAGGCAATATATCAAGAACAAACCCAAGAAATGGGGTTACCAAAATTTTGTACGAACTGGCATTTCAGGTCTGATCTATGACTTTATGATGTACGGTGGTGAAGACACATTTCGTAAACAAACCTTTACGTCACAAGAGGCATCACTTGGTGTTGGGGGTATGGTAGTGATAACTTTATGTAAAACAATAAAACAAAAGCCATCTATCATATATGCTGACAATTTCTTTACTTCTCCCGAACTGGTTTATTTGTTGCGAGAAGAGCATGGGGTGTTTAGCCTTGGCACTTTAAGGGCAAACCGACTAAGAGGTTGTGAACAGCTTCTACCTTCAGATAAGGAAATTAAAAAGAAGAAAAGAGGCTACAGCTCTCAAGTAGTATGCAATCGTAACAAATTAGCAGTTGTTAAGTGGAACGATAACAAGGTGGTAACGTTAATAAGTTCCTTTATGGATTCGTATCCCATAGACAAGATCAGAAGATATACAAAGGATGCGAAGGCCAAAATAGATATCGACTGCCCTCAGTTGGTTCGCGCTTATAACAAACACATGGGTGGTGTCGACCTTGCCGATATGCTGATCTCTCTGTATCGCACACCATTTAAAAGCCGAAGATGGTATCTACGTATATTTGCGCAACTACTAGATATGTGCATCAGTAACGCATGGCTTTTATATAGGCGAGATACTAAAGCTAAGAAATCTCTCAAAGAGTTTCGCCTAGAGTTGTTTGAGGGATTGTGTCGAGCAGGCAAAAGCACTAACTTCATAGGTGTAGAAAAGATTGATGATCACAAAAAAATTCAGAAACCAGCTGTTCAGAGACCTGCTGATTGTGTCCGGTATGATGCCGTTGGACATTTTCCTGAGTCTCGTAACAAGCAGTCGCGGTGTAGATTCTGTAAAGTTGGCAGAACCAAAGTGTTTTGCATAAAATGCAATATGCACTTGTGTTTTGTTGTCGGAGAAAATAATAAAAGGAATTGCTTTCTTCATTTTCACACAAAATAATTATAATAAATTTTAATAATAATAAATTAAAATAAAGAATTTATCCACAAATATGGTTTATTTTATTCTTGGCGACGTACTCCACCTAGTATATTCATAGGAACATATAGCTTTCATACTAGTTGGCAACGTAATTCGTGAAGTACACTGTTTTTTGCAAAAACTGAAAATGATGGATTTTTTTAAATATTTTTTTTTATGCATTTTAGGTCACAATAAATCAGATATATCACTTAATTAAGCATAATTTGGAAAAAAAGATCTTGCCAATTTAAGGGTTAATAATTCAAGTGTTTGTTGTTGCCACTGTAGTTGCCACTGCATACTCTGTCAGACTGCTTTAATACAAGGTATAGCTGCATATAATAGGTGATTGAGCCAGCACGGTGGAAAAGGCAGCCCAATAATGTATTTTACACAAGTAAAGCTTGACAACCTTCAAGGAAAGGCAGATTGGGCAATGTGGAAATATAAAGTTATCCAAGTGCTTGATGGTATACCAGGGATGCTTGATATTGTGGAAGGTAATACCCATTTGCCAATAATTCCAGAAGGCGCAGGTGATGCTGAAAAGGCTTCCCATAACAAAGCCGTAGCAGAGTATAAGAAGTTACATAGCACTGCCATGATAATTATCACAACTAACTTATGAAGAGAAGGTAATGCGCTTCAATAAAGCCAATGATGTATGGCAAGAACTGCACAGACTTTACTCAGGTAATTCTGAAGACAGAGCATACAGCGCGTGTCCGAAATTCTTTAACTACCAATACCAACCAGAAGATGTCATGGTTACCCATATGTCGAAATTAAAAAAACATTTGGAACGATATAAATCTACAATTGAAAGAGAATCTTCCTGAGATTTTATTAATGATTAAAATTACTGATTCTCTTGATGACAGATACTCGGCCTTTAAGTCAAGTTGGCTACTATTAAGTGCAAAGGAGAAAACGATTGAGACACTTACTGAGAAACTTTGTGCGTTTGAAAGTTTACTAAAGACACCCTCTGAAGATAAAGAAGAAACACTCACTGTCAACAATTCGAACAACAGCTCGAAAACAAAAAAGAAACAGTGGAAATGCAATTACTGCAAAGAAAAAGGCCATGGAGTTAAAACCTGTCCTAAGTGGATTAAGGATGGAAGACCACCGAAACCCAGTAAATCAGGTCAAGTTCAAAACGTCACCTTGATGGCTTGTACCTTACAGACAAGGAACGAAGATTTTTGGTATGTCAACAAAGGCGCGACGTCACACGTCACAAATAATAAAAATAATTTCATAAATTTCCAGAAATTAACAGAATCACACGGTTACTACTGCCGTTGGAACCATAATTCCTGCATTAGGGAAAGGTTGTATCACAGTAAAATCTGAAATTACTGACGATAAGATCACCTTAAGTGATGTCTGGCTGGTTCCGAAACTAATCAAAAATTTATTTTCGATGTTGGCTGCTCAAGACAAATTGCCGAACAGTGTATTTACTTCTACGAATCGTGAATGCAAATTAACGGTTAATGGTCAAGTCATGCTTTCAGGTAGCCGAAAACCTAATGGTGGTTTGTATAAGCTTAAGCTTAAGGTCGTAAAGGGTGATGAAGAAAACCAAGTTAATGCAGTAACTGAAAACAATAAGCTTCAATTATATCATGAGCGCTTTGCGCACCAAAACAAAAGGCACGTGATTGAACTAGTCAAAAGGAAGCTAGGCATTCGCTTAAAGCCTGATGAGGTGCAATGTGAAGCATGTATCAATGGAAAGTCGCACAGATTGAAATTCGGAAAAAGGGAAAGAGCAGACACACCCGGTGAACTGATTCATATGGATGTATGCGGACCTTTCCCAAATAGTCGTCGCAAGTATAGATATTACGTGCTCTTTAAGGATGACTATTCAACCTACCGTATGGTCCACTTCCTACGAAGGCAAAATCTGAAGTGCAAGAGAAATTAAAGCAAATGTTACAAGAGGTAAAATCAGCGGGTCATACCGTAAAGACTGTTCTCAGTGACAACGGTGGAGAATTCGATAACAAAGCCGTATGTAAGGTATTACGAAATCACGGTGTTCAGAAAAAGCTAACCATGCCCTACACACCGGAGCAGAACGGATGTTGTGAGCGTGAAAATAGAACGCTAGAAGCAGCAAGAACAACGCTACACGCTCAAGACGGATTACCTGAATTTTTATGGGCAGAGCTCATAAACACTGCTGCATATGTACTAAACTGGACAGGTCCAACAAGAATTGA